AGAGATAGATGGATCCTTCCTTTCTTATTTAGTGTTTAAGGAAAGGATTCTTTGAATAAATCCTTAAGTAAGACGAGGATTCTTTTTCTTCCATTCATACTCAATGCTTTAAACCAAGGATTCCTCGATAAAGGATAACGAATTGAAAGGATTCTTTCTTCCCTTTGTACTCAATACATAAACTAAGGACTCCTTGAGAAAGGAAGAAAAAAAGGGAAACCTGTCTAAGCAAGAATTTCCCGTCTTATAGAGGTTTTGCTTTTATTAACGCATATAAATCTGTTTTAAAATGTTAGGTGTTGCTTAAGACGGGTTGAAAGAGCCGTGTGATACGTAGCTCACACGGGAAAAATCTGCGTAAGAAACCCTCTAATTATGACCCGGAATTTGGCCGTTTTACTCAGGTTACGCTATTGAACTCGTTTCCGCGTTAGACGGGTTTCCGAAACGTAGTATTCGGAAACCCGTCTTAAGGGACGATTTCCTATTTAACATAGGAAATCGTCCCTTTCCGGGATTTATTTTCCGTTTAGACAGATGTAATGTTCCGTTTTAGACAGGTTTTCTTGTACTTAATCTTATATACAGTACATTCTTCATTAGGGAAGTTAAAGGTATGTTGTTTTAATGTTAACAATGAATAATAAAATAATATCGTTATGTAATCTGAGAATTATAAAAATATTTAAATAAGACGTTCTAAATGTAACTTTAAGTGGGTCAAGCCCATACAAAGTACCTTTATGTAATTTCTCATTGATTTGAATGACACTAAACTCTAGTGTTTATTTTTAACACAATAAAAACATTAATTATCCGTGTTATAATATTAACAAAATGTCGGAATATTTACGTTAAATTAACTAAGATTCGCCTTATTTTTCGCCCTTAAATGGGGAGAATTATGTTGATTAATTGTCAAATGATAAATCTCTTAGAGGATAACACGTCAGGAGACAAATGGGGGGGATTATATTAAAGTTTCCGCGAAATATTATTAAAATATTTGTTTAAAGTGACGTTACGTGTTTAATTTTATTGTCACGTTAGGGTACTGTTTTCCCGAAAAGTTAATACTACCCTCCACCAAATACAGGTAAAAATCTAAGGCCCTAATCTATAGACTCATAATGCTTTAATTTAGCTGTAACTTAGGGCCTGTTTCGTACTTAACAGGGCCCGAATTCGAACACGACTGCAGGATTCTAGGTCATAACTAATGAGAAATACACCAAAATTTTACAGGAAGTTACTTAATAAAACCCTGTTATTTCAGTCAATCAATAAGACACTACGAAGACACAATTGAAGGATTGATAAGAGGGAAGAAATGATGATCCTTCGATGTACTTCATCCGAAAATTAGAATTTAGTTACGTATAACATATCCTCCACCCGTATTGATAACACAGAACGACTCGACTCGAGCATTTCCATTATTTATTGTGCTCTTAACTCTGTACACACGAAACTATCCACTCCCCACTCTATGAAAGCGGTGAGAAAACACATGGTCTCCTATTGACTGAGTGTAAGTGGTCATCACTATCGCAGCTTTCAATTCAGAACTGGAATTGTAATTAAAAATATGAGTTTATAAGTACACAGTCGACACCCCCCTATAACACTGTTGATTTTTCCGTTTTATATGAATTCCATGTTGTACGAGTCACTTAGATTTTACAAATAAGTGTGGCGGGGTGTGAACAGCTCGCGTATTTGTAAAATCTAAGTGACTCGTACAACATGGAATTCGTATAAAACGGAAAAATCAACAGTGTTATAGGGGGGTCGACAGATTCTGTAGCTCGGAAGTGGAGGAGAAGAAGGGAATAAGTGTTTATTTAAACATGTGTTTAACCTCTTAATTACTTAAAAATAAACTCAAAAACTCGTTAAATCTAACAGAAACATATTCATTTATTAAATTAAACAATATTCAAAATTGAGAAGAGCATTTTAATTGGTATAATCAACGAGTTTAATTAGAGTCAATTTGGGAGTCGAATAATTGTAATTAAATCGTTAACGAAATTATAATTAAACGAATAGAAAATTTCCACTATTATCTACGAGTTATGAAGGACCAGTAGTGTATTATATTAGAATTAATAACAATGATAAGCTGCGGTGTAAAGGGGAGTGGGTGAGGGGGTGGATTAGTTTGTCCATAATGAAAACTGCAATATGACTTATCACAGAAGAGATACGTCTAATTTCTCATCGACGTAGATAGATAAATGATACTAAATGATGTCTAGGAGTATCCCTATGGCAACTGGATTTATCTTATTTACGTTCGGGGGTGTAAGAGAGGAAGACGAAGAGATTGATCGATGAAGTAAATCGTTGATATTAAAGGCAATTGAAACGTTTATAAGTCAATCGCTCGATCGAGATCGAAGGATTGGGAGATGGGATGCGACTTGTCTTCTTGCGTTTCGCATAATTCGGACACCAACGTAGACAGGTGAGTGACGTTTACTTGTGACGTCGAAACGGAGACGTGTCCTTTATCGAGGTAAGTCACTTTTTTCGATAAGTGAGCGAAAAACAAACGCTTTTAACTCCGTTGATAACCAGAGTAAACAATAATTATGATCTTCTCGGAGATAATTTAGTTTCCTTTTAAAAATAAAATAAAAAAGACCCTTAATTTGTTGCTTCGAAATCGATAAAAATATAATTGTATAAGGTGTAACACTATAAAACGAGCAAGGTTAGTAAATCTATTACACGTAACTTGTTTATTTTAATTACAATTAATATTCTAATCCCTTCTTCAGCGTAGATTTTTGAGTAGGGTTCTATTCCCTAATAACTATACAGTAATTCTTTAAATAATTTTTCAAAAACCTCTAAACAACGGCTGTTTTCTATGTTCTTCTCGGTGGACGTTGTTCGGAGGTTATTTGTATGGATTTTTGTTCCTTCCCTTCCCGAATAAATAACTACTGTTGGGGGTGGACGTTGTTGGGAGGTTATTTAATAGCAAAAATTTCTGCTATTTAGAGGTAATTTATAAATATATTTAGAACGAAAATAAAGCAATTTTTAGCATTTCTTTCCCGCTACGAGGACCTTTTCTTCGTACCCTTAGTGGTTTCGGGAGGGCCCACAATAGGGACCACATGGTAGTGAGGAACATCTGAGAGTGATCCCCACGAAAAGCCCGTAGAGTTGCTCCATGGAGCGCCCACGAATTGATGAAAACCACTGAATACCGGTCGTGGGTTCGCTCCTACCAACAGGCTATTCGCGTGGAGTTTTCCGGGTTTCTTCGCGTGCCAAACACCTAAATAAAGGGCAATTTCTTTTAAAAGTCTTTTCGGGAGGCACCCCACGTGGCAGATGGTCCGTGTGTCGTATCGAGTTACCTTATCCCATCACTCCAATTCTCCAGAGCAGATGGCTGACGCCTTAACCGCCTCCGCCAGCAGACAGTCAACTTCGAAGAAAGTATTCGATTTTAAGCCATTTATCATTTAAGATTCAGTTAAACCCCCTTCTTTAACGCCATTCTCTTTATAAACCTCGCTATTACGACTAGCGTATTCGAGTAATCTCGATTTATGGCGCAGAATAAGATAATTTGATTTACGATGGAGGAATTAATTAGACGGTAAAAGCGGGTTCTAAAACGTATATAAAACAGGTTAACAATCATCGCGTGATGAAGCGCAAAATAGGAAAAAATCGAAAGCACGATAGAAACTAGTTAAAGTCGCGCATTAAAGTTCTACCTAAATAAATAATTCCTCCTTCTCTAAGGTCATAAAACTAAACAGGATTTTTATTTTTCTTGTTAGGAAGAAGAAGAAGAGAGAGAGCGTTAATGAATCAGTCGTTAAGAACTTGTTAGATACTTTGACTAACTCCTGATTATTCCGTATACTGATAATTACAAGTAATTTTATTGTGTTTTTTACAATATGAAACACTAAAAAACTCATTCCTAGTGCTAATTTTCACATTAACTTATCTATTTTTAATAATTCCGCTCCGTGGGCACTAAGATACCGCTCTGTGGGCATTATGAGAGCCGCTCTATGAGCCTTTTAATCATGCCCGTCGTAGTTTCGGCCAGGCCTACAATGGGGAGGTAGAGTAAGGAGGGTGCATTTATCCGAAACGACTTCCCCGAAAATTTCCTGGGGATTTTTGAACGCCCGGATTCGAACCCGGATCCTCTAGAGCGGTAGGTTGAAAGTCTAATTTTAACGAGGTTTTATGTAATATTTTACTCGTTTTTCTTTAGACGTTTTAAATTGATATTTAAATTTAGTTTTCTGCTTCTAAAAATAAATGTTTTGAAATGTGTTCTACGCCATTTTTTTTTTTTAAAGAGAATTTTCTTTTCTCGCTGTCTAATCGCGTTGCTTTGGCTTTATTTTACAATCTAAACGCGATTTCTCTTCCGAAATTTTCTATTTTTGTAGTTGTTTGTTTGTCCTTTGTTATATTTTTCAAAAATTTCTTTTTATTTCCTTCAAGAACAAGGCCTACATCTTGGATGAGTTGATAAAGTGGAAGAGTTCTTAATGGTATTTCGAGTGCTCTTGTACCGTTTAAGTCCACATAAAGGCGAGGAAAATAAAATAAAATAAAAAAATATATCATCAGAAAAAAAATTTTTTTAGAAAATTCACTTTTTAGACCGAATTTCCTCCATTTTTCTTTTGGTCCAAGTAAAATTCTCAAAAGTCTACCTTGTTAAAGTCGATTCAAAAATTGAATTATTCGAGAAAAAATATCGTTTTTTTAACATAAAAATCAATAAAAATATTTATAAAATTTCCAAAATATAAACACGTTCGATTCTGTGAGTAAAATATGTCTAAAAAAATGTCATTAGATTATTAATGTAAANAATTTGATTAATAATAATATGCAAAATATATTCCAAAGTAATTTATAATATTTTAATATATTTTATTCTTATTATATTTTTAGTTTTTATGGTAAAAATGTAATTTTAAAATAAAATATTTGTTTTGTAATTGTTTGGTAGGCAGTTTCCAGGATGATTCTGCAGCTGTTATTCAATGCAAAATATCAAAATATGTAAGATTTATGACATAAATATTAATGAGAATGCTTAATATCTTTATGAATATTAATATAAATATTCATTATTAAAAATACTTTGTTTATTCGTGTCAAATTCAGTTACAGAAACATACGAAGGCCGAAAAAGCATTGCTGTTAGTGGTCTCCGATGATCAGTACGATGCAACGTGTCAGGTAAATTTATTTAAATCAGTCATTATACCGGATGCTCGATAATGAAAATATTAAATATTTTATAGGTTGCAAATGATGTAATTTTAGAAGAGGAAATAAAATTTCCTGTAAGTGTCAAAAAATTTTTAAATAAGTTTTTCACTTTGTCATATTTAATTAAATTTATGTAAAACAAAATTTTTTTTTTAATATGCTAATTAAATTTAAATTTAATTTTACTATTATATATGTATTATTTAAAACTTTTTTAAATGTACTGGTCTAGAGTTTCTAGCCTTTCAACATATATATGATTGTTTTTTTAACTCTCCCATGTAGACACTAAGACTGTCTTTTTTAGACCTGGTGAATCCACAAGGTCTTGTTCTTGTGGGTTCACCAGGCCCACAATGGGATATTCGGGTGATGAGGGATGGCACCCTACATATCCAGACAGACCACTCCCAAAAATTATTTTTTGACTCGTCTGGATTTGATCCAGGATCTTCCAGAGCAGTAGGTGGTAGGCTGTCACCTTAACTGCTCGGCAATCTGTCCATCCATAAATATAATTAGTGTACATTCAGTGTTTTACCTGTTTGAACTTTAGATGTCCAGATGGCCGAGGCAATTAAGGTATTGGTTTACCGCTCTGCGGACCCGATATTGAATTCAGATGGTTGAAAAATTCCAAGGTTTTTTCATGGGTGGTCCATCTCAGATTTGTCAGTTTGGTTTTAATTTGTATATAGCATGGGTGATCTGCCGAGAGTGATGCCTCTCGGGAGGTCTTTTATGGGAAACTGGTCCCCATTTTGATGTTACTGATGTGAAGAAAACTTGGAAAAGTCTACATAGCCAGTCCATTTGCGAGATGCAAACCTCAGGCCAACTACCAGTATTTAGTGGTTTTATCCACTTGGCCTGGATTTGTTGGGCCCTATCTCTCACTACCAGTTGCATCAAGAGACATTGTTGAGTCCAATGGAAAAGTTTACATGGGCTCCAACTAAATAAATTATATGAAAATTTATTTCGAATTGTTTTATAATTATATTACATCTTTATAAAAATAGAAGAATAGTTGTTGGTCCTACTCACCATTTGGTCATCTTCATTACAGGCCTGGTTGAACACACAAAGAATAAAAAAAAAAGGCACTCTTAGTGCCCACAGAGAATATAGAATTAAAAAAAAAAGCATTCAAATTATATTTTAACTATTTAAATTAAACAATTTAAATTTTATTGAGTAGAATATTGTCTTTTAAACGTTTATTTTGGATTTTTTTCTAACACTGTAACAAAATATTGAAAGTATTTTGTTTACAGTGCAGAGTTAAGTTAAATATTTTTTTTAGAAGGTATTATATTTGCAAGTTTTTCACAATTAATTTTTAGGAGAATTTATTTACAAAATAGATTTAACATCTCTTTAATGTAATTAGTAATTATTTATTTTGTTTCCTTCCTACAATTTTTGTTTCCTCCTGACAGAATCCAGATATTATTTCGTAGGAGATAAAATCTGCGAAACTAATCTGACAAATATGTATAGTTCTTTCTATATATATATATATTGTTTATTCTCTTAATGTTGATATATCAAATTTACTACATTATGGTGCTATTATAACATCCCTAACATTGTTTAATTTAATATAGGAACTCAATAATTGGAATAGTTAGAATCTACATAATGCAGTTTAATGAGATGTTGAAAATTTATTGTTTTTCGATAAGCCATAATCTGATTTATAAAATTGGTTTATGATTTTATATTATAAAAGTGATCAATTCACTAATTTATATTATAAAAATTTATAAAGTTTCCTATATTTTCATCAAATTTTATAAATTTAATTCATTTTTTTCCCCCTTCATTTTAAATACAATTACATATTCGGCAACTGTGAATTTAAATTTGTTAAGCTAAAGTTGATATACAGTTTGTCCTTTAGTGTAGTAATTATCATAACATTACACTGAATTTCTTTGAGACTATTCTGAATTTTTTTTATTATACATTATTGATGATATAAATTGAAGACTAAATGCAAATAAACTTTGCTGTCTTATAACATTCTCTCTAACCGCAGAAACACAATTAACACTGGCAGAATTGACCTTTTGTTTGTGACCCTCAAAGAAAAAATAGGCAGGGAAGAGCCTCAAAGGAAAGATCAACTTTGCCATTGTTTATCGTGTTCCTGAGGTCAGAAAGGATGTTAAAAGACAGCAAAGTTTATTTGTATTTAATCTTCAATTTGTATTATTTTAAAATATATTTCATCTTTGGATTTTTAAAAGATTTATTAACATTAATATAATTTTATTGCCGACAGAAATTCAATTTATATTCTACAAAGAAAGAAAGAAAAAATAAATTTGATTAATAATAATATGCAAAATATATTCCAAAGTAATTTATAATATTTTAATATATTTTATTCTTATTATATTTTTAGTTTTTATGGTAAAAATGTAATTTTAAAATAAAATATTTGTTTTGTAATTGTTTGGTAGGCAGTTTCCAGGATGATTCTGCAGCTGTTATTCAATGCAAAATATCAAAATATGTAAGATTTATGACATAAATATTAATGAGAATGCTTAATATCTTTATGAATATTAATATAAATATTCATTATTAAAAATACTTTGTTTATTCGTGTCAAATTCAGTTACAGAAACATACGAAGGCCGAAAAAGCATTGCTGTTAGTGGTCTCCGATGATCAGTACGATGCAACGTGTCAGGTAAATTTATTTAAATCAGTCATTATACCGGATGCTCGATAATGAAAATATTAAATATTTTATAGGTTGCAAATGATGTAATTTTAGAAGAGGAAATAAAATTTCCTGTAAGTGTCAAAAAATTTTTAAATAAGTTTTTCACTTTGTCATATTTAATTAAATTTATGTAAAACAAAATTTTTTTTTTAATATGCTAATTAAATTTAAATTTAATTTTACTATTATATATGTATTATTTAAAACTTTTTTAAATGTACTGGTCTAGAGTTTCTAGCCTTTCAACATATATATGATTGTTTTTTTAACTCTCCCATGTAGACACTAAGACTGTCTTTTTTAGACCTGGTGAATCCACAAGGTCTTGTTCTTGTGGGTTCACCAGGCCCACAATGGGATATTCGGGTGATGAGGGATGGCACCCTACATATCCAGACAGACCACTCCCAAAAATTATTTTTTGACTCGTCTGGATTTGATCCAGGATCTTCCAGAGCAGTAGGTGGTAGGCTGTCACCTTAACTGCTCGGCAATCTGTCCATCCATAAATATAATTAGTGTACATTCAGTGTTTTACCTGTTTGAACTTTAGATGTCCAGATGGCCGAGGCAATTAAGGTATTGGTTTACCGCTCTGCGGACCCGATATTGAATTCAGATGGTTGAAAAATTCCAAGGTTTTTTCATGGGTGGTCCATCTCAGATTTGTCAGTTTGGTTTTAATTTGTATATAGCATGGGTGATCTGCCGAGAGTGATGCCTCTCGGGAGGTCTTTTATGGGAAACTGGTCCCCATTTTGATGTTACTGATGTGAAGAAAACTTGGAAAAGTCTACATAGCCAGTCCATTTGCGAGATGCAAACCTCAGGCCAACTACCAGTATTTAGTGGTTTTATCCACTTGGCCTGGATTTGTTGGGCCCTATCTCTCACTACCAGTTGCATCAAGAGACATTGTTGAGTCCAATGGAAAAGTTTACATGGGCTCCAACTAAATAAATTATATGAAAATTTATTTCGAATTGTTTTATAATTATATTACATCTTTATAAAAATAGAAGAATAGTTGTTGGTCCTACTCACCATTTGGTCATCTTCATTACAGGCCTGGTTGAACACACAAAGAATAAAAAAAAAAGGCACTCTTAGTGCCCACAGAGAATATAGAATTAAAAAAAAAAGCATTCAAATTATATTTTAACTATTTAAATTAAACAATTTAAATTTTATTGAGTAGAATATTGTCTTTTAAACGTTTATTTTGGATTTTTTTCTAACACTGTAACAAAATATTGAAAGTATTTTGTTTACAGTGCAGAGTTAAGTTAAATATTTTTTTTAGAAGGTATTATATTTGCAAGTTTTTCACAATTAATTTTTAGGAGAATTTATTTACAAAATAGATTTAACATCTAAATGAATAAGTATCAAAAATTTTTTGCTGAAATTTTGTAAATAATTTCTAAAAGCTTAGAGTGTTTCTGTTTGTTAACAACTTTAAATAAATGTATATCTAAGAATATATTCTTAGTTCGCTTACATTTATTAAGGTGTATACTGATTTATATAAGGTTATTGAACATATATGAAACTTATGTCAATAGTTAATCAGTTTCTTCAGTTAATAAAAAGTGAGAAAATGTATCTTCGGGAAGGTCGTAAAAGAACAGATGATTTTATGCTGCTTTTATGATGTTCTTCACTCAAAATAATTAAAACTTTAATAACTAACAATTTTCTGGATGGTATGAATAACTTTTGAGTAATTCTTTAGATATATTTCAGTTTGCTAAAATTACATCTATAATTAAACAATCATTTATAGTAATTTATATTTCTGTAAGATTCCCGCTAGTCTTACCGATCGGTGTTAGAGGAAGGAAATAGATATAAGACATAAACACATTGCATGGTATTATATATACAGGCAAACAAGACTGAGGGGGGTCATGGTTTCTGAGCTTAATTATCGAGCAATCCAGCTCTTGGGCTCTATGCTCGACATGCCTAATACGAGTCGTGCTGTGTGCAGCACGACATCACAATTTCTTGAGAAAGTAGAATTTAGCTTTATATCTTCATTTTAATTACATAATAGAGAGGTTGCAGCCGACATTTTGAACATGAAAACGTGTACGTCGGACATTCAGTGCAGCCTTCCTGTGAGCCTAGAAGTTTGACAATGGCGTTTGGAATGTCAAGCATGATTCTACTGATGTTCCAAACACCATTGTTAAACTTCTAGGCTCAAAGGAAGGCAGTGCTGAACGTCTGACATACACGTTTTCGCATTGGAAACGTCGGCTGCAACCTCTCTAATTTTTTAACAATATTGTTGTAAACAAATGATTCAAAAAGTCTATTTCTTTTATAATGTACTCTTTTTAACTGTTAAATGGATATAAAATGTATAATTTTTTTAAAATTTACAAGGAAGAAACATGAATCACATAACAGAATAATACTTTTTGGTGATACAGATTTAACCAAACATATGATTAAAATGTTAGTAGAGAAAATGTGCTAAAATATCTAAAATTAGTTTTAAAATTTTAAATCAGAGAGACCAATTTTATATCATTCATGACAGAAACCCTGCAGTTCATGCAGAATCATTCTCTATTAAGTCAGTTTGTTAAGGTTACTTTAATATACAGTATTGTTGTTTTATACTAAATGAATTATTTCATTTATCTTAGCTTCTTAGGCAAAGATATACAAACATTCATGTTGATTTAATAAAAGGTTTTTATTAATTAATCATGATAAGAACTAACATACTATGCTGTACATTGTGGGAGCAGACAATAGCAGGAAAGATAAAAACAGAAATCTAAGTTCTCACTCTCTAAACAAGTATTGTATTAATTAAATATAAACGTTTTGTCCGAATATTTGTATCGCTTTATTTTTTCATAACAATTCTTTTATTTTCACAATATTTTAATGTAAAATTGATGTTTATATGAACGATATTTATTGTTTTAAACTTATTTTTTATATAAATTTAATTATTATGATTATTATATATTTATAAAACTATACAAAGAAAAATATCACTTAACAATCTTCAGGAGTTGATTGAAACTTTGGACTCGTGAGGATTGTTAAGCAATATTTTCTTCGTGTACTTTTAATAAGAATGTAGTCGATGCATCAACACATCTGAACAGTTTGATTATATATTTATAATGCATTTTGGCAACATCTAAGTTATTAATGTAGCAGATTTATTATGTTTCTTAATTTATAAGATATATAAATCATCATAAATTTATATGGTGGTTGTTTTTTAGGGTTTATCTTATCGTACAGGTACTAAATTTTAATCCAACTAATGTAAATGCTGGGTTAATAATAATAAATTATTGTTTTACAGTATAAATTTNCCTACTGTAATGCTTAAAAAATAATTATAAAAAAATTAAAATAGTTTCGTTAACGCGTAATTTGCTTTATAAATTATTTTTACGCGTTTAATTAGTGTAAATTCTTAATAAATTTTATCTTTTGTTAAATGATGTTTAAGAAAATGTCGATTGTTCGCGGTAAAATAACTTAAGCGGAAACACGTGTAGTGAACGAGTACACACGTTGGTTAAAGGGAACGTCAACATCCGGCGTGGTCGCAGGTGATAATACAGGTGTTGCGTGTTTACGCTTTAACGCCATCATCGGCGATATTTACTTTTATTTTTTACTCTTTACTCATAAAATATAGATTAAGCGACTGTCTAAACACAATATATCTCTCTCTCGTCTGCAGAATTACTTGTACGAGACATGCCAAGATGATATCAGATCCTGCTGAATTGTTAAAGTTGTGTGGTGAGTTTCAAACTTTCTTCCTTATCTTGCATCATCTTAAATAACTTTCTACGGTAAAAAAAGCAATCAACTAGTCTTGTAAACACTTAATTTCTTCAGATTTTTACTTAAAAACAAGTTTAGAATCCTTTGTTTAATGGTAAAATGTGTAAAAACCAGGAAAGTAAAATATACACCGTGTATATATAAATAGCATTTTACCTCCTGTGTTGAACAGCTACTACACTCACATGCACCATACTGAGAATGTATTTAATTATATCACAATAAAACATCCCTGTTGTTAGATTAACAAAGCTGTTTACTTCTATACAAAGTTTGTTGTTTTGTGATTTTTATTATGTAATAATTGAGATTTAATTATAATACTTTTTAATGATAAATATTACTTAAATGGTTTTATATTACAAGAAAAATTTAATTAATTAATTAATTTTGATTTCATTTTTACTTTCAGTTTCAGTGTAAAGACCAGAGTTTTAATTATTATTTAATCACTTTTAAATTATTTTGGTCTCCGATGATCAGTACGATGCAACGTGTCAGGTAAATTTATTTAAATCAGTCATTATACCGGATGCTCGATAATGAAAATATTAAATATTTTATAGGTTGCAAATGATGTAATTTTAGAAGAGGAAATAAAATTTCCTGTAAGTGTCAAAAAATTTTTAAATAAGTTTTTCACTTTGTCATATTTAATTAAATTTATGTAAAACAAAATTTTTTTTTTAATATGCTAATTAAATTTAAATTTAATTTTACTATTATATATGTATTATTTAAAACTTTTTTAAATGTACTGGTCTAGAGTTTCTAGCCTTTCAACATATATATGATTGTTTTTTTAACTCTCCCATGTAGACACTAAGACTGTCTTTTTTAGACCTGGTGAATCCACAAGGTCTTGTTCTTGTGGGTTCACCAGGCCCACAATGGGATATTCGGGTGATGAGGGATGGCACCCTACATATCCAGACAGACCACTCCCAAAAATTATTTTTTGACTCGTCTGGATTTGATCCAGGATCTTCCAGAGCAGTAGGTGGTAGGCTGTCACCTTAACTGCTCGGCAATCTGTCCATCCATAAATATAATTAGTGTACATTCAGTGTTTTACCTGTTTGAACTTTAGATGTCCAGATGGCCGAGGCAATTAAGGTATTGGTTTACCGCTCTGCGGACCCGATATTGAATTCAGATGGTTGAAAAATTCCAAGGTTTTTTCATGGGTGGTCCATCTCAGATTTGTCAGTTTGGTTTTAATTTGTATATAGCATGGGTGATCTGCCGAGAGTGATGCCTCTCGGGAGGTCTTTTATGGGAAACTGGTCCCCATTTTGATGTTACTGATGTGAAGAAAACTTGGAAAAGTCTACATAGCCAGTCCATTTGCGAGATGCAAACCTCAGGCCAACTACCAGTATTTAGTGGTTTTATCCACTTGGCCTGGATTTGTTGGGCCCTATCTCTCACTACCAGTTGCATCAAGAGACATTGTTGAGTCCAATGGAAAAGTTTACATGGGCTCCAACTAAATAAATTATATGAAAATTTATTTCGAATTGTTTTATAATTATATTACATCTTTATAAAAATAGAAGAATAGTTGTTGGTCCTACTCACCATTTGGTCATCTTCATTACAGGCCTGGTTGAACACACAAAGAATAAAAAAAAAAGGCACTCTTAGTGCCCACAGAGAATATAGAATTAAAGAAAAAAGCATTCAAATTATATTTTAACTATTTAAATTAAACAATTTAAATTTTATTGAGTAGAATATTGTCTTTTAAACGTTTATTTTGGATTTTTTTCTAACACTGTAACAAAATATTGAAAGTATTTTGTTTACAGTGCAGAGTTAAGTTAAATATTTTTTTTAGAAGGTATTATATTTGCAAGTTTTTCACAATTAATTTTTAGGAGAATTTATTTACAAAATAGATTTAACATCTAAATGAATAAGTATCAAAAATTTTTTGCTGAAATTTTGTAAATAATTTCTAAAAGCTTAGAGTGTTTCTGTTTGTTAACAACTTTAAATAAATGTATATCTAAGAATATATTCTTAGTTCGCTTACATTTATTAAGGTGTATACTGATTTATATAAGGTTATTGAACATATATGAAACTTATGTCAATAGTTAATCAGTTTCTTCAGTTAATAAAAAGTGAGAAAATGTATCTTCGGGAAGGTCGTAAAAGAACAGATGATTTTATGCTGCTTTTATGATGTTCTTCACTCAAAATAATTAAAACTTTAATAACTAACAATTTTCTGGATGGTATGAATAACTTTTGAGTAATTCTTTAGATATATTTCAGTTTGCTAAAATTACATCTATAATTAAACAATCATTTATAGTAATTTATATTTCTGTAAGATTCCCGCTAGTCTTACCGATCGGTGTTAGAGGAAGGAAATAGATATAAGACATAAACACATTGCATGGTATTATATATACAGGCAAACAAGACTGAGGGGGGTCATGGTTTCTGAGCTTAATTATCGAGCAATCCAGCTCTTGGGCTCTATGCTCGACATGCCTAATACGAGTCGTGCTGTGTGCAGCACGACATCACAATTTCTTGAGAAAGTAGAATTTAGCTTTATATCTTCATTTTAATTACATAATAGAGAGGTTGCAGCCGACATTTTGAACATGAAAACGTGTACGTCGGACATTCAGTGCAGCCTTCCTGTGAGCCTAGAAGTTTGACAATGGCGTTTGGAATGTCAAGCATGATTCTACTGATGTTCCAAACACCATTGTTAAACTTCTAGGCTCAAAGGAAGGCAGTGCTGAACGTCTGACATACACGTTTTCGCATTGGAAACGTCGGCTGCAACCTCTCTAATTTTTTAACAATATTGTTGTAAACAAATGATTCAAAAAGTCTATTTCTTTTATAATGTACTCTTTTTAACTGTTAAATGGATATAAAATGTATAATTTTTTTAAAATTTACAAGGAAGAAACATGAATCACATAACAGAATAATACTTTTTGGTGATACAGATTTAACCAAACATATGATTAAAATGTTAGTAGAGAAAATGTGCTAAAATATCTAAAATTAGTTTTAAAATTTTAAATCAGAGAGACCAATTTTATATCATTCATGACAGAAACCCTGCAGTTCATGCAGAATCATTCTCTATTAAGTCAGTTTGTTAAGGTTACTTTAATATACAGTATTGTTGTTTTATACTAAATGAATTATTTCATTTATCTTAGCTTCTTAGGCAAAGATATACAAACATTCATGTTGATTTAATAAAAGGTTTTTATTAATTAATCATGATAAGAACTAACATACTATGCTGTACATTGTGGGAGCAGACAATAGCAGGAAAGATAAAAACAGAAATCTAAGTTCTCACTCTCTAAACAAGTATTGTATTAATTAAATATAAACGTTTTGTCCGAATATTTGTATCGCTTTATTTTTTCATAACAATTCTTTTATTTTCACAATATTTTAATGTAAAATTGATGTTTATATGAACGATATTTATTGTTTTAAACTTATTTTTTATATAAATTTAATTATTATGATTATTATATATTTATAAAACTATACAAAGAAAAATATCACTTAACAATCTTCAGGAGTTGATTGAAACTTTGGACTCGTGAGGATTGTTAAGCAATATTTTCTTCGTGTACTTTTAATAAGAATGTAGTCGATGCGTCAACACATCTGAACAGTTTGATTATATATTTATAATGCATTTTGGCAACATCTAAGTTATTAATGTAGCAGATTTATTATGTTCCTTAATTTATAAGATATATAAATCATCATAAATTTATATGGTGGTTGTTTTTTAGGGTTTATCTTATCGTACAGGTACTAAATTTTAATCCAACTAATGTAAATGCTGGGTTAATAATAATAAATTATTGTGTTACAGTATAAATTTAAAATGCAAATATATTTTTAATTCTAGAATATAATGTATTTAACTTTTCTGAAAACTGTACTTGTCCTATTACTCAAACTTTTAAAATGCAGTATAATTTTAATTTTGAATATTAAAGTTTTAAAATGTTAATATTCAAAATCACCTTCTCCAGAGGACATTTCTGCTTTTGTTCTCCTTTTTTAAATTGAAATTTGTTTCTTTCTGACCTGAAGAACGTCATATAAGATGACCTAAAATGTTTCAAAATTAAAATTATACTGCATTTTAAAGGTTTGAGTAGTAGTACTGTTGTATAATGTACTTAAGCTAATAAACAGCACACAGAAACATAGCCAGGAATAAATCGTTTGGGATTACAGGGGTAAGCTGAAAAATTCTGACTGGTATTTTTCTCATTTCCAGTCAGTACTACACCTGTTTACAACTGTCCAAGTGTAAAACATGTAACAGTAGCCTAAGTTCACATGATGAAAGGCAAAAGCATATATTATATATGTTACTGTGAATGACAGATATCTGGCGAATGTCAACATTCTCTGGTGAATGTCAGCATTCACACAGTCATTTCGCGTATGTACAAAATATTTGTTAAATATCATTATTTCTCACTTACACCGGCAAATGTCGACGTTCAGCACGCACTGACGGTGAATGTTGAATAAAAATATTTTTATTACATTAAGACAAAAATGCAACTTTTTAATATGTCAAAGTAGGAGAAAGCTTAAGTAACAGCACATGTAAATAAACTTTTGAACCTAAAACAAACAGTACATTCTAAATCATTAAAGAAAATAATACAATAATAAACTTACCCATAAATTATGCGATTAATGTTATACAATCTTATTTATTGCAACAACTTAAACTGTTATGGCACTTTGAATTGCACAAGAGTCCCTTGCTTTTACAACTGCATTTATTTGTGGAACACTTCTTTTTGCAATGACAGCGTGTATAGCCTTGACCTCCACTTTTAGAATTATCTGCAGCTGCTTCTCTCAGCGATATTTCTTGAGAAGAAATATCATCTATGGAAAGTAACTTTTCTTTACAAATTATGAACTGATTGTGGGTATAAAGCTGCTTGAGGGTAATTTTGTTTGCTAATTTATAAAAGTCGGAGTCTTCTGTTCCAACAACAACCGCCAACACATTTTTGGCATCTGTACGGCCACGGTCGACATCAGGGACTTGTATTCGTACATGGATGATCTGCCAGGGCAGATCATCCATGTAAAATATTTCACACCTTTGATATGAACTACATTATGTTAATCAATTTTCGTAATTAGATATGTAAAATGCTAATAATAAATTTTTATTGAAATATGTTGTTATTTTAGTTACAGAAAAACAATTTCTTTACGACATTTCCTAAAAGTAAATCTCTTAGGTGTCAGGATATTAAGGAAGTAAGTAAATTGTTTTTATATTTATAGTTTTTCCTTTGAAATTTATTAACTTTTCTTTTTAATAATTGTTATAGGAAATTCTTCAGAAGCTACAAAAATTGCTAAAAATAAAAATTAAGTCATTATTATGCATTCCAATTGCTCATCCAAATAATGAGAAAAAATATATTCTACTAGTTTGTTTAATAAATAAAATAGGTTCAGAAGAGTAAGTATTTTCCTGTCCAATACAATTTTATGTAATATTAATATACAGGGTCTTCCAAAACAAATACTACCATTTCAAATTACTCTGATTAAGTTAATTATTATCTGAGAAGTTTGGGACATACACCAATTGAACCAATTGATAGAGTAACCTTTTGAGTTACATCTTGTCATCTACCACCTCCAGAAAGAGTTGTAAACAAAACTGACACCCCCAATAGAGGTGTTTTTGTATTCTGCAGTTTGCAAAGTTTGAATCACATGTCATTATACAAACATGTGTAATCTGCAGGAGCTGTTGAACTGTCTGCTGTGGTTTGTGCTGTATGTGACCGGAGGGTCGCCATCTCTTCGATGCCCTGTCAGGACTGACACCACTGTGTCCCGATTGACACGGAAGCCAAGATGGCAGGTTGATTCGGTCACGCAAGCAGCCACATGTGCGGGCGATCAGATCTGGAATCTAAATTTGGGTTGAGAGACAGTGTAATGGAAGTAAAATACTCAGATATGAAAGTTAACAATTAAATACCCGTTTATTTTCAATGAAGAGGAATACATGATACAATATATCAACTTAACCTATCTAGCTAGCAATCACAAGAGAGAGAGAGAGTTTACAATTATTCACGAGTCAGGAAATACCTGCATTGATGGTGATGATTCTTGATTTGAGATTAGGATCTTGAAGGTGAGGATTTGGATCGTTGGACCGGTCTGGATCAAGAAAGTTCTTCTAGGCACAGTGGAAAGTAACGGGAAAATCCGCAGAGTACTGATTGAGCACAGAAATTGGCACTGACACAGGAAAAATTTTGATGACTTTAATCCAAGAGTGACTAACTTTTTCGGCTGTCAAATCCGATATCAGTGCAACATTGCCCAGCTAAGAGGTCAGCAGATCACGGGAATGTGTAGTCTTTGCCATCGAGAAAGTGTAAGGGAAGATTTTTTCAGTAGCTGAGGACAACAATTGTTGAGCAAGTATGATGAATCAACAATTGATTTTTTATTAAAATTCGGAGTATCACATATAGCAAGTGTAGGAAGAATTTGAGTATTGGTTGAATGTGTGCCTTGTGATGTAAGGTGCATACATTGAGAAATTGTAAAAGGTAAATGTGCAGTTTGGACATTTTTCCAATCCATTACAATGTTCTTGGATAATAGTTCACATAATTACAATAATTTAAATTGGCAGCATTCTTTTGAAAAACCCTGTATAGTTATAGAATGTGTTATAGATATTTAGTTGTGTGATAAATAAAATAACTATTTCTAAAAGATTCACAGATGAAGATGAAAAAATAATATCTGAATGTTGTATGTATACGTCACCAATATTATTAAAATCTTTAATATATGAAGAGGAAAAACGCCAAAGGAAACAATGTCAAGTAAGAGTATTAATCAAAATATTAATGCATTGCCACTTTTTAGCTTTAGTTACAATAAATAAATTATTTCAAAAATAATTGTGTCACTTTTAAACTTACTCTGGATGCTTTCTATATTATTTTATCTTAGAACATACCTCTTACTTTTATTTACTTATAGACCTTTTAAATTTGAAGATTAAAGGAATAATTACATTGAAAATTATCATATTTAATCATACAAAAGTTTTAAATTTTTCATATGACTGTAATGTTAAAAATTATGAAAATCTATTATAGACAAAGCCTGTGAAATTTATCGGAAATGAGGAATTTATTATTGTTGTTTAGGTTAGGCTACAGCCTTGATAAAGTAACCTAAATTTCTGAAAAATGCTTAATTACATAACGTGACAAATAATCAGACATTATATTTTTATGAGTAGCAAAAATTATAGAAATAAAATCATAAATTTAGAAGCATATAATATCAAGAATGATATAATAATTGATAATATAGAAATAATTGCTAAAATTATGCATATCATATGATTTTATTGGAAGAACAAAATAAAACTGATACTAAATCACATGAAGGAGTCCAGGTTTATTTAAGATTAAAGTTTTTTGAGACTAAACTGTTCCATCTTTAGATTTATATATTCAAAAGTACAGTAATACCTTGACTTACGCTACCCCGACTTACACGAACCCAGAGTTACGCGATTTTCAAATCTCGTTGATTCGTCATTTGTTTGAGCGCCACGCAACTCTCGATTACTCACTCCCCCCACACTATTGTTCAGCTTACATGTTTGGATGTGTCACGCGGAATCCACAGATAGCTACAATTTATTTTGTGTTATTTATTTCTGTATTATTTATATCTACGGAGACTCGAGAGACTCTATGTGGTGATTTCTTGTAACAATGAACGAATCAAAAGACGAGATAAGATTAACGAGAACATTTATTAGCTTACATACATCCGACTTGGATTTTACATACATTGAGAAATTATACCCCGACTTACGCGAATTCGACTTACGTGGTTATCGCTCGGTCCCATCTATCGCGTAAGTTCGGGGTATTACTGTACTGTATTTACTTGCACATAAGACGAAGTGTGACTTTAAAGATCAAAATGAAGAAAATTACTGTAAATTAATACAATTCTAATTTTATATCAAATGCACATAAATGCACACATTGTCCTGCAAAAATTACTGGCATTTTAAACTTTAAGGAAAAATCTTGTAAAATCGATAACATAATTTGTCCATGTAAAGCTGGACAATCCAGAGCCTTTTTTGCCTATTCTTAACAGTCAAATTTACTCTCCATGGATTACACTTAAGTTTCTCCAAATTCTGATTTCTGAATAATTATCTGTTTTCACCTGGGAATAAATTTAAACTTATATCGGGCTCACGTGTGATTTTGGAATTCAATTCAAAAGCTTTGCTTTTCCTATTGCTATTCATCTTTACTCCTGGCAATACACAAGAATGATTCGAACGACCCAGATAAAATACTTTTGTTTTTAAACACAATAGGGTGAGCATCCAGTAAAAGATGTGAATACATGGTTTACAAAAATTGGGCAAAAACGTAAAGAATCCTTCGCTTGTGTGTATAGGACGACCTAGGTTTTTGAAGCAGTGAAAAATGAATAAAAACCTTGTCTTATATGCAAGTAAATATGGTATGTCAAAGGAGCATTCAAAAGCTTTGAGTGTGATATGCTCACAAATTAGTGGAAAGATATGGAAATTTATTTATTTATTTATTGCCAAATTGTAAAGACAAAATTCAAAAATCGTTAAAACTTCATACATTTCTGTACTCATAAATTGTTTAAAAAGTTTTAATTTAATAAATTTTGAGCAGAAGGAATATGAATTTATTCACATTTTTTCATTGTCCATATTTTATTAACTTGTAATAAGAAATTCAATACTTAATATGTAAAGATCATAGAATGTACAGTACTTAGTTATATGTAACACAATGATAAGATTTTTGTAAAGGGTGTCTGTAAAGTGAGAAATTTGTAGCGACATTAAAGTTATATATATGGTATTACATATGAGACCTATAAATTGTCTATTTAATACCAGTTGATTGTACAGTATTGCATACAACTTACAGGTCTCGTATCTAATGCTGTATGTATAACTTTAAATGTTATTATAAATTTTTCAGTGAATATTAACTTTTCACACACCCTTTATCTGAACACATCTAAACAGAAAAGATATGGCAGCTACAAATTTTTTATTTTCATTATAATCTTATGGGACTTCTATTCTTAAGTGATATATACTTGTATTAAAAAATATATCCATTATTTTAATTCTTATTTTATTTATAATAGAGGTTAAATTAGATTATAAATTACATTTTTCTATATAAGAATATTTTTTAATTTTCTGTATGTATACGTTTTTAGTCACTCTTGCTTGTAGCCCGGAATATTTTCTCTCATCTTGGTAAGATTCCTTTTAAATTCTAATCTTTATCATAATAAATTATTTATAACAAAATAATTTACTTAAGCAGTCATTCAATGATTATTTAATTATTATTTTTAGAAGATCACATGCTATTTTAGTTTAATGTATAATTTTATATTATCTTAATGTTTAAAATGAGTTGATTTATTTGATTCATCTGATGAAATTTAAACAATTATGGCTTATTAGTTATATAATGAACATATTTATTAATTATAGACAAAATTATTAAAACTGATGATGATAATAAGTAATATTTGATGTTTCTTGAATAGTGATAGCTTATGACTGCATTTTAACTTATAATTTTCACAGTTTAAATAAAGCATTTATATTTAACTTGATGTATTACTAATCAGCCAAATTAATTGGGAAGAAATTATTCTACAGAAGTAGATAATTCTAAATTTAAAAGTTAAATTATAGTTACTACTTTCATTAAGAAATGACACCTTACGTCTACCTCTATTTGCAGGGTCTATAAACACAAGGTCAGTGTGTATACCAATGTTTCCTATGGAGTTGTCATATTGGATCCTTAGTTCAAAGGTTACAATATAGATTTCGTGCTTGTATGTGCAATAAACTGCACGTACTGTACATAGAATGCTATATAAATGTGTATATATATCATGCTATATAAATGCTCTGTATGTACAGTACAGTAAACTGCACGCACATAGCATTTATATAGCATGTATTATACAAGGTGATCACAAAAACAATCCTTGATTTCCAACAGATATAGAATGTAACTTTATTGGAGTATTCTTGCGCATTGGTTGCTACAGTTGCATCAATTCATAAAGTTTCATGTGGTATTGGTTGATATCATACACACTTAATCTCCACCCCACCTATTACTTGGCAACATGTGATAATCTAGCTCAGACCAGACTCTCTGCAACATATATGGTGTGATCGAGTTTATACCTTCAGTGATGTGTCCCTGCAGATCATCCAAGTTTGTGGATAGTGGAGGTAAAGTACTGTACTGTACATACACTTTGTCCTTCAAGTATCCCAAAAGGAAAAAGTCACAAACAGTTAGATCCTGTGATCTAGGGGCCACTTGTAGAACACCTGGTCTCTATCCAGTACAGCCAATCCATCTGTTTTGGCAGGTTCTGGTTGAGCGGACAGCGGAGTTTGCGGACAAAATAAATTTTTTTTTATTTAATGTATCTGCGGCCACCATATTTATAAACGTATTCCAATAAATTTTGATTTTATAACTACTTGAAATAAAGGAGTGTTTTTCTGCTCATCTTGTACTTTGTGGTATGCACAAACCTATGCACAAACCTACTGTTTCAGATAATACAGAGCTTTTGATACTCAAGTTTCTACTGCATTAAATTATTCTCATACCAATACAGATTTAAAAAAAAATAAAATATATTATAGCTTATACTAAAAGTAATTTCACTTTAATTACAGATAATGTTACGGCATTATTAAGTGAAATAATGACAGAAGCAAGAAATTTAACGAATGCCGAAAGGTCTCAATAAATATTTCTTAATTTGATTTTATTATAAAAAATAAATATAAAAATTTTTTAATGATTTTAAAACTATAAAACTGTTAAAATTATTCCAGTTATTTAATTTAATTTAATTTCTTTGTAGATGCTCTTTATTTCTTTTAGATAAGGAACAAAATGAACTTATAGCAAAAGTATTTGATTCTAACATGGCTGATGATGGTGGAGAGGTGTGTAATGCAAATAATAATATCATATACAAATAAAACTATAATATATATATACATATCTCTGATGATTTATTTTTACAAACATAGTCAAAAGATGTTCGGCTTCCTGCAAATCAGGGCGTTGCGGGTCACGTTGCGACTACTGGTAAGAAAGTATCTATTGTTCGGAAATATTTGGAAATTTTTATTAGTGTTAAAATTATACAATTTAAAATTGTTCAGGTGAGATGCTCAACATATACGATGCTTATTCTCATCCTTTATTTTATCGCAAAATGGACGAAGTAACAGGCTTTAAAACAAGGTATTTTTTATTTGTTTTTATTAGTTACTCCAGAATATTTTTGGGTTGGTCCGTCTGGTTATATTGGTCTCAGCCCTCCAACTTAGCTGCCCCATTGTGGATCAGGCCAAACCAGTAACGGGCTTGCTAAAAAAAGACATTCTTAATACTGGTATATATTATCTAAAAACACATCAGTACCAAACCAGTTAAACAAATCGAAAATATTTAATATAATGAATGTTTTTGTCCATATCAATTGTACATCTTCAGGTTATATAATCATATTAAAGAGCAGAATACCAAATCAAATACAAAACTTAAATTGAATTTTTAAACAGCCGAAGTTCTGACACATGCAGTACGTAGAGAATGTATATTATTAAAAAAAGAAGCGAATAAACGTAACATAATTAATAAAATAAGAATATTTTGATTAATAAACCTAAGAGCATGTACGAAATGATTTACTATAGTTCGAACCATGCTCTCCACACCATTGGCAGATTGTCCTGAAGTTGATGGCAATCTTATTTTTCATGACCCTCTTGGTGTTTTTCTATTTAACAGGCTTAAGTAATCTGAGGATATCTGACTGATACGGACGAAAATGGTGCTTGTTTAACTGGTTAAGTGTACTGATGTGTTTTGATTAGACAAATTTAATCTTAAAAAGAAAATTTGTAACTCATTAAAGTTTTCAAGACTCCTGAAACCTTTTTAGTGCTTTTTATTATAAATTCAATTTTCTTATTTTTATTTATATCACAATTGTAATTTATATTGATTTAAATAATTACTGCATAAATTAATAAACACTGCAAACACCTAATAAACCAGCAACAATATTTTAAACAAAGTGTGAATGTTCTCGCCCATGTTGAACGGGCATCATCAGGCAGCAAACTGTTAAGAAAACACAGGATTGTTGAACACGTGTATAGAGGGAAGGGTGTATGACATAAGATGAGAGGAGAAAGGAGGGGAAAGGGAGAGTTTATACTTTGTAGAATGACTTCCAGGCACATTTGGTGCCTGGAAGTCATTCTATTAAGGTGTTTGCAGTGTTTATTAATTTAAATACTGCATATATATACAGTTTCAAAACATCTAAGAATGTATAAAATTTTTTATTCTTAATAGGAATATTCTTTGTTTTCCAATTCAGGATGATAGTGGTAAATATACAAAATTATCTGTATTAAATTTTCTAAAATTCTATATTTATCTATTTATTATTCTTCAATTTTATTTGTAGGTGTGGTTGGGGTCGCAGAATTATGCAATAAAAAGGACGGCAGATATTTTACTCATTTCGATGAAGAAATAGCAAATGCATTTTCTATTTATTGTGCCATAAGTATAATGCATGTAAGATTTGCCTTTTGTTTAATTTTCCATTATCTAGATTAAATATTTCTTTTAATAGATTAAAATTTAATGGTTTTTAGTCTTTAATGTGGAAGAAAGTAAGAGATGCTCAACATAGAAGTAGATTGGCAAATGAATTAATGATGTATCATATGAAAGTAAGTGCAGACTTAAACTTTAAAATTCTTTATTATATATATATAGTGTGTGTGTGTTTAAAATGTTTTATTTTATTAAATTTTATTAATAATTTCTATGTAATTAAATTACATGCATTAATATTTATATACTAGTATGTGTGTATAAAAATTCTTATAAGTTATAGTGTCTTGTAACCTGAAATTATTAAAAATACATTATATAAATTAATAAGCAATCATTTTATAGAAACAATAATATTTTTATTATCATGCTGTAATTGGTTTTAATGTTTTATATACAGCCAAATCTAAGATCGCCTTTATTTTAACACAACTGTTCGGAATGCTTTTAACATCTGTAGTCTTAATGTATTTGTTAAATTCAATAATTTGATATCCTTCTACTCTATATTCTCATACTATTTTACGGAATAATAATTTAATGCATGTAATAATGTCTCCTTTCTGATCCGACGATCACCTAAGGATCATTGGAAACACATAACCACAAGTGTATGTCCATTTACAATAGTTTAGTTAAGTTAATGAGCTTATTTATTCTATTGTCAAAAGTCTCAGGGCTGTTCCAATCAATCTGGAATTGAAGAATACAAAAGATATCTTCATGTTTTGTCCTTATTACACCTCAAAAACATAAATCTTAAGGCAGAGTCAATTTTTTATTGGAGGCTTTCATCCGTCTCAATATGCAAAACATTAAATAAAAAATTTTCTTTGATGACAATTGTAATATATTAATAAATAAATAAATTAATATATTTTTATAATTGTGCCATTACTGGAGGAAATTTTTTATTTAACATCTTATATACTGAGACAGATGAAAGCTTCCAATAAAAGGTTGATTCTGCCTTAAGACTTATATTTTTGAGGTGTAATAAGGACAAAACACGAAGATATCTTTTATGTTCTTCAATTATTGTGTGAATTTTCCAATATATTTATCGTCTTAACCATTTTATTTATTAAACTTTTTTGTTTTTTCAAGAAAAAGAATCATCTTTGTTAAATCAAGTGTTATCTTTATAAACAGATATCAAAAAATGAATTGTTGACATAAAAATGTCACAAAAACAATCTAATATTTCTGTCCTTTTATTAAATCAGTTTAAGAGTAATGTTTCTGTAATCCAACGATCTTGATAATTTAACACAATTCTCTGTTCCCGTGAGTGTCATATTGGAGGCTTGACTTTATTTATTTATTTATGAACAGGTCTTTAAAAAAATGTTTTCAAGAGATTATTCTTATCATATATCATAGTGAACTGATGTTACTTAAATTGAAAATAATTATGTTAAATTATTGAGGCTATCTGCTTGGCAACGTATAAAAGCTCAGGATCTACATATGGTAGGGCCTTTTTTATTTTTGCTTTGTTTTTGCCACCTGTGAACTATACAAAATCGAGAGAGATAGCATCCAGTGACATTATTTGAACAATGGGACAATGGCATGTTGACCAGGAGAGGAGTAGTGTGAGATGACCCAAGATTGGGAAAAGGCCATGAGATAGCAATATATCTCCATCGAAAGAGGAACATTCTAACATTGATCGAGAACGTACTCAGGGAAAGAAGCATTGGAGGAGGGAGCCTCGTCCAAGCACCTTAGTTTTTTTTTTGTTTATACATGTCCAATAAGTGTGTCATGAGTACAGGTTTTTTTTTTATTTTGTTTATGTGCCTGTCGATTGTCATATGTCAAGGAGCCCCTGAAGAGAGAGGAGGAAAGAAAGAGGAATGTGTATTGCATGAAGTTTTATATTGTTATTGTCACGTGTTAGGTTGTCAATTGCGTGATAGCTTATATCCCATGTATATATTTGTGACTCGTCAATGAGAAGGGATTAAAAGTCCCAAATTATTATCAAGCCAACTTGTTCGTTTTTTTTTTGTTAGTTCCACAGACTTAGTTCTACAGGACTTTTTACATATTTATTCAACATTAATAAACATTTATCACATGTGGAATGTTATTTATATGAGATCTTAATTTGTTGCCCATTGTCATCAACATGCACTGTCACAACTGACCAGTCTGAACAAACTTTTCATATATACAACAATTTGTTTTATGGCTTAATGGGTTTCATTGAAATTGTCCTTGGAACTTTCCTCAGATTATAGTGGGAGGTACTGTACAAAATACCTCCATCAAGCTTGCTATCACTCTTCTTTCTTGTAGTGTTAACCTGTCTCCCATTATGTTTGAAAAAAAGAAAAAGAAAATAAAATATAAATATTTTTCCATTCAAGTGTTAACATGACTTTTAAATTCTCTGTATTTTATGTATGTGGATTGTTGTCTGAAGACCACGTGTTCTGTTGCATAACCAGCTTCTTGGATGGGCCACAGGGTAAAGAACGGATGGGCATTCTCGATGACAATCAAAAAACCCGGATCAAGGAGGGGGAGAGGGAGATCGTGCATGCTCAATGGAAGAAGAGGGATTTTAGAGGAAGAAAGAAAAAAAGAGAGAAGACATGTAGACGAGAGAGTTGCGAGTTTCTTCCTATTTGTGTGTTGTGTACTTTGTTTTAGTGTTTGTTATAGCAAAAGGACAGAAGTGATCGGAAGGACTAAAATAAACTTTAAGTTCCTTGCATCGGAGTCATAGAGTGTGTGATTTATTTCTTTGAAGTTTCTTTTTGTTTTGTTCCTGCACAGGGAACACTCTAAAGATCGAGTACTTCCCCACAGGATGAATTTTAAATATACCAGAATAAATTTAAAATTAAAACATGTGTTTAAAAGTTTTATTTATATTATTTTATTCCTACATTAATATTCATATTCATAAACATTACAAATATGAATATTTATGTAACTTAGAAGATTATTTCTAAAGCATTCTGAATTTCAGTTATTTTTCTATAATTCAAGAATAATTTTCAAATTAATTACATTAAGTAGATTAAATTTTTAGAATAAAAGCATTTAAAATTCAGTTTTGAAAGAAACACATACCCACAATGTCCAAACCCTTATTGTGTCTCCCACATACATATACAGTTATTATTTATTATTTGTTTATTTATAATAGGAGTATTTCACATTCTTCTATGTCTTTGTACTGCATTCATTACTTGTGCATCATTCACAAGCTGGTATATAAGGACTTTACTGCACTCTGTATATTTAATCTTGTTGTAAGAATTCTGAGATTTTAATTAAATATGTACTGTTTTAACAGATTTCTTTCTTATTTTTAAAGATACCAGAAGAAGAAGTCATTACATTAGCACAAGCTTCCATTCCTTTGCCATTGGAGATTCACAAGGATTTTGTTACATTTTCTTACAATCCTAGACAGACTCCTGATTCGGATACTGCATTAGTATGAAAATATAATTACTTTATTTATGAGTTTTTCATTAAAAGTTATAAATAATATAACGTTATTTATTTTGAAGATTACTCTAGCAATGTTTGAAGATTTAGGAATGATTCAACGTTGGAGAATACCAAAATTAACATTAGCCAGGTGAATAATTACTGAAAATATATATTTTTTTATTTTAATTTATTATTTAAAAATGTATTATTGATTTATTGTGCAAAATTATCACAGAAAATTAATTCTAAATACATACATTTTTTTGCTTAGATTTATCTTAATGGTAAAGAAAGGGTATAGAGATCTTCCCTATCACAACTGGATGCATGCTTTTTCTGTTGCACATTTTTGCTATTTGCTTCTTAAAATCACTAATCTTCAGGAAACACACTTGATGTAAGTCATTATTTACTTTATTATTATTAATTCGTCATTTGTAGTAGATGAGTTATTCAAAACACGTGTCCAATAATTAATGACAGATGATGTTTGTACACGAATAGAGAGAACTGTAGACAAATACAGACAAATGTGACAAGAACTGTATTACTTGACATCTAACATAGGATAATGCATAACTTATAGGACTTTACAAATCAAATCAATAAAACTAAATCTTTGGTGAAAAAAATACAGAAGTTGGACATAGGTAGAGAGTGGATGGAAAGTGTTTACCAATATCCAGGCAGAGAGACTTGTTGGTATGGAATATGTCTGCCTCGAACTGTGATACAGCACTCGCAATATCATGGCAGGCTTGTCACCAAGACTTTTTCTAACTACCACTAACAACTGTGTTCATCCTTAAGTTTTGGACACATGTGTAAATTAAATATCTTATATGCTACTGTTATTAATAATTTATCATATGTTATTTATTATTATATACATAAAATATTATCTACTCTTAAAAAGGGTGATTCACTCAGGACCGAACACTGTTCATAATCTCATTGCATAGTCCCATTTGAAAAACATGTAATGTAAAATGTACTGCCTTGGTCGATTGCTCCGTCATGAAATAAAGAATCGTTCCATTCATATTCCATCCTCATCTTTTCATTTTATATGGAGATATTCCCAGAATAAGTGTTCACTCTCTTCTTTAATAAAAAGTTGGCTTCTAGAAGTTGATTCACTCGGGACCGAACACTTATAATGTGGAATATTTTTGTGTAAACTGAAAAGATGAGCATGAAACGAGTGAATCACCTTGTATAAGCCAACTTTTTAATTAAGAAAAATCATAAAATAAAATTATCTTCTTGTTTATGAGTTGCTCCATAAATGTACTCTCTATATCGTATACTATGTGGTTTAAGAAACCCATTATTATTATTATAGATTAAAGATCTTTTGAGACAAGTAATATCTTGTCTTCAGGTCATGAGTCTAAGTACACTTCAAATTAAAAAATGCCATTTTGATCAAAGTTTAATTGAACTGTAAAGAATACATTTGTGGAGGCATTCATAAGCAAGAATTTGATTTTGCTAGCTCAATACTACCAACTTTTATTCCTTAAACTTGTTCTGTATTTATAGTTCAAACACTGTACTTAGGTTTTGGATCCAAAGACAAAATGTTATTGTCTCAAAAAACCTTTAATCGGTAATAAAAATGGACTTCTTAAAATAAACAGTGTACAATATTAAGAAAAGTTAAAATAAAATTAAAATTAATTTCCTATAGTCAGTATTGTTTTTATTGAAAAAAAATTAAAATTTTTCTACAGGGCCTTGGAATGTTTTACACTGTTTGTTGCATGTATTTGTCATGACTTGGATCATCGAGGTACAACGAATTCATTCCAGCATAGATTAGTAAGAAATTATTTCTACCTTTTTTCTATTATTAAACAATATTAATGTTAATAATTTTTAAGGAGACTTACCTTTGTTTTCTTTTTTATTTAGATAAAGTAATTTCAAAATGTTCACTATATGGCTAAACTATAGCCTTACTCACTCTTTCCAGCAAATAATTTCAGTCTTGCACTAATGTTTTACTTCTTTCGGAAGACTTTCTTGGGTCTTTACCATTGCAAAATTCGAATAGTGAAAGATTGTAGTTTTGGAATACTTTTTAAGAATTCTTTTATGTATAATGTTGTTTGAAGAAGCATAAAGAATAGAATCTCTTCAAATTAGCATAATTTTAATACCCTTATTTTATATAACAGTGATAGAATCAGATAGAAATATGAGTAGTGAAGGAGAGATCCAAGGAAACAAGGAAACAGAGAAAATTAATAAGAAGTTAAAATTAACTATATTTACTAGATGTAATTTTTCACTTTTAAAATCACTTAAAAGAGGCTTCTTTGGACAAATAAACTAAAATGTTACTGTACTCTGATTGATTTCTATGAGTACAAATTATTGGTGTAAGCTCTGTCACAGATTGTACTGATTACTGAAGAGGGATCAGCGAGAATTCTGATCAGAAATGCATATAAATAAAACATCCGAGAATGAATTGTTTCTGAGTAATTCTTGAACTTGGGTGAGCATCAGAAGGACATAACATTTTAGTTTATTCATCCAAAGAAACCCCCTTTTAAGTGGTTTTACAAGTGAGGGAAAATTAATACAGTGGTATCTCAGGATACGAACGCCCCAGCATACAAAATTTTCAGGATACGACATGAAATTCAAACATATTTTTGCTCCACGATATGAACAAAAACTCATCATACGATGTTACATTAGTTCGCAGCGCCTTTTTTATTCACTTTTGTTCATTGGTCTCAGTCTACATGTTTGCTTCGTCATGGAAGGATCTCGCTCGATAAAGGAAATCTCGAGGTATTATCAGAAAGTGACTGATTTTATTGAAAAGAAACATCCCAAAAAGGTTCACACTGGTTGTATTCATGCTCAGAGTAATGACATTTGCCTAAGTCATTTTAGAAACATTTTAAGAAGTAGGCAAAGCCAAACCTCTTTGGATAGATATTTTACCAAGTGACCTCTGTCCAGTGAAAGTGCTGGTGGAAGTGAAGGAAAGAAAATAAAAAACAGTGAATAAAAATTTTAAAAAAAAAACATAAAACAACACTAATTTTTTAATCTTTTCTAAGTTATTTTTAAGTTATTGTTACATTATGCTATGTAAGTTAAGTTTAAATATCATTTCCCTTCTCCCTCTCTTCTGCCACCAGTTTACACCTCCACTGTCGTCTATGCTCAAAGGTAAAGTGCAAATAAAACTACATTTTTTTTAATGAATTATTATTCTCTTATGATTATTTATACATTTACAACTACAAAACGCATTTTTCAGTGTTTTCCTTACTATAGTTATTATTTTTTTAATGTACTACTTAGCTTTAATTTGAGTGTGTTTTTCATGTTGGAACGAATTATTTGGTTTTACATGTAATCATATGGGGAAAATGATTCACCTTACGACATTTTCATGATACAATCTCAGTTTCGGAACAGATTAATTTCATATTCTGAGGTACCACTGTATTGAGTCTTGGAAATAAGATGCCAATCTTCTTTATGTTCTGTGCTGGTGTTTTGAAACTTATTTGAAAATTTTGAAAACAATTGCACTTAAAAAATGGTTTATTTTTTCAATTTTAACATTGTTCAATTTCTTATCTTTAGCTCAGTTCAATAAAAGATGGCTTACAGTAACTTTATAATGGGAAGATAAGGAAAGGAGATACAAGAGATAAACAATTTAGACATTTAAGCCAGTCACAGCAATAAATGACAGTCATTTTTCCTTATTTTTTTCGACTATTTTATTTCAGAAACATTTCTTTTTGAAATGCATTCAAAATAATCTTCAAACAATGATCATATTTTATGTTTCTATTAGTGTCTGTTGTTCAGACATTATTATCTTTGAAATTATTATAATTTTATATTTTATTAAAAGAAATTATATCACAAAACAGTTCATAAGTGTCTCTATGCTATAATTATCATATTATAATCTTTATACAAGTAATTATACGTGCAAAAATTAATTTTTTTTACATATTTATGAAAATATTTATTATTTTATAACAGAAAACTGATTTAGGAGCTGTTTATAGTTCAGAAAGTTCTGTTATGGAAGTAAGTATTTGTTAAATTAGAAAGAAATAAATAGTTTTTATTAATGATTTAAATAAGTCGCTTTATCATATTTAAAACAATAAATTTTTTTTTGATATACTGTTTTATATATAAACATAATATAATTTACTATTATACTAAACATATATTGTGCTCTTATGGATGAATAGACACCACACAAATGAGTATTAGGTCAACAAAAATAACATTTGAATTTGTACCATATTCAAAAAGATGGCAAAAAATTTTTAATTTAGGGAACTAAATTAAACTTTTCTATTAAATTAAAGTTTATTTAAATTAAAGAAATATGCAATCTGTCAAGGGAGGAGGACTTTCTATGGGAAATTGGTCTCTATTTATGAATAAATAACTCATACAACAGTATGCCGTTCAAATAAATATCCTAACACCAAATAAGCAGCAAAAAGCACTTTAATAGACTCCTATTTAGGTGTTAGATAACTACAGAAAACCTGGAAAACTCTCAAGTGCCCAACCTATTGGTCAAGCGCAAACCCGCAACCAGTATTTGGTGATTTTATTCATCGAAATATTGGTGGTTTGTTCAGAAATGTATTGTTTGTTTCTATAAGTAGATTATAGAATACAGTATTGCATCAATACAAAAAGACAAGATGAAGTATCCCACAGTCGTGGGTGTAAGGTTACGTATCTCAATTAGTTTTGTGATTATAATTTACGAAATTTTTTACTCTATACCAGAGGGGCAAGTGACCCATTTTTCCCAGCCCATTAGACGCCCATGATTTGAAGGATTAGAAAAAATTCTAAGAATAAATAAGTAAATTATGTACTTAATGGAAAACTTTTTGTACAGTATTTAATAATTATTAAAAACATGAATTGTTGATTTTCAAACAAATATATGTTATTTTGAAATGTAATTAAATTAATATTAATTTTTCTAGATGCATCATTTTTCTCAAACTATGGCTATTTTACATTCCGACGGTTGTAACATATTTGAAAATCTTTCACAAAAGGTAAATATTTAATAATTAATTTTATTATTTTCTCTTTTAAATTGTGTATATCATTTGAAAATTGTTGTTTAGATAGTTTTATCACTATTTTCCACATATAAGTTCTAAATATTTACTCATCTTTGAGATTAATTTCCTGAGCAGTTAAAGGTGGGTGTTTGTCAGCCCCCTGGTAGACTCAAATAATCAAACGATGCATGTGTAATGGTAGTAAAAAAAAATAAAAATTTCATTATAATATTGCAACTTAAGTCATTTGGGGGACTTAGGATCAAGTCTGGATGGTCCAAAAAACTCTAGGAAATTTTTTGGGTGGTGATCCAACTGGATATATCAGGTTTTGTTTTCACCACCCAGCTGCCTTGTCGGCACTAAGAAGGCCCACAAGGCAGCCTTTTGCATGATGGCTTTAAAGCCTGTTGATATTTTTTGTAATGGAATGTATAAATAAAAACTGAAAATGGCATTTTCAAATGATCTGCTAGATTTTATTAGGCTATATTTTAAGTTTTCTTAGTAATCAGTATCAAAACAATTTGTTTAGAAGTAGGTGGTTAGGCTGCTATCTCTTGATGAATTTAATAATTAGAAATAAATACATATATTATTAATTTCTAATTATTATGTACGTATGGTTTTATCTATACATACAATCCCTGGCAAAAAATCTTTGACCACTCTTCAATTTTCAGTCAAACATGTTTTGAAGTTTATTACAAAAAACAAATCTAGTCTTTTTCATACAAATTTTTGTATATATTCCTAAAAACCCATATTTAAAACGTTCTTCAATTAATTTTTTTTAATTATTTTAGGAATACACTCAATGTCTCGACTATTTGCAATTACTCATCTTAGCTACGGATCTTGCCAATCATTTTCGGAGAGTGAAAGAAATTCATAAAATATTAGAAGGTATATAAGTATATTTCTATTAAACTTCATTTAGAATAAGAGTTTGTATTTTAATTTGATTACTGTATTTTTATGTATATAATTCTGCTTAAAATTGTTAGAATGAAAATAAAACTTTTGCATAATTTGTCTAATGTGAACCTCACATTTCCATAGGAGCAAGTTTGTAATTGAAATTTAAAATTGGCATATAACCTGATCTATTGCATAATACACACAATACCCTTTCAAATAGTTTTTTAAACACATAACATGAGGGTAATTTGCATGAAAATATAGTATAATGCTTTTACTCTTCTGAAAGAAGAGTAAAAGCATTATACTCTTTTTGGAACAGTACAAGTCTTCCAAAAAGGATGCTACCATTTTAAATTATTGTAATTATGTTAATTATTATCCAAGGACATTGTAATGTACGTACATGAAACATTGTAAAACTGTTCAAGTGTCACATTTTTTCNTAGCTACGGATCTTGCCAATCATTTTCGGAGAGTGAAAGAAATTCATAAAATATTAGAAGGTATATAAGTATATCTCTATTAAACTTCATTTAGAATAAGAGTTTGTATTTTAATTTGATTACTGTATTTTTATGTATATAATTCTGCTTAAAATTGTTAAAATGAAAATAAAACTTTTGCATAATTTGTCTAATGTGAACCTCACATTTCCATAGGAGCAAGTTTGTAATTGCAATTTAAAATTGGCATATAACCTGATCTATTGCATAATACACACAATCCCCTTTCAAATAGTTTTTTAAACACATAACATGGGGGTAATTTTCATGAAAATATAGTATTATGCCTTTACTCTTCTTTCAGAAGAGTAAAGGCATTATACTCTCTTCAGAAGAGTACAGGTCTTCCAAAAAGGATGCTACCATTTTAAATTATTGTAATTATGTTAATTATTATCCAAGAACATTGTAATGTACATGAAACATTGTAAAACTGTTCAAGTGTCACATTTGCTCATTATAGTTTCCCAATTTGTGCACATGTGTCACAATGCACACATCCAACCAATACTCAAATTTTTCCTATATTTTGCTACAGTATAGCCATTGTCACCACATGTGAATTGTGTGGAATAAATTAAATATAAAATCATTAATAAAAATAATAAAGAAATGGTAGAAATTTTTAATTCAAAAGAAGTTATGTAAATGATTAGTATATAGATAACAATCTATCATTATGTATGAAAAGAGAGATGGAAATTTTTCCCCTGAGCCCAGAAAGTATTAATTTTATAAAATTAATGCTTTTTTACTAACAGAATATAAAATCTTTAAGACTGCTTTTTATTAATAAAGAAATTTCATTTGTCTAAAAAGAAAACATGGCCCTCTCTACCCTAGGCCCATACAAGCTTTGGATGGCCCTGGTTGTTAGCCTTCATTAATCACATAACTAATAATAAGACTGAGTTCTTTTTACAGTTAAGATTTTCAAACATTGGCACAACATTTCAACTGATAATTTTTACACAATTGCATACTTGTACATTTTTTTATGCTTAATATGCTTAGCCCGAAGTACTATACGTAGCTGTATTCATTGTTATTTATTAAATAAAATATTCAAAATGATTTACCTTATTAAAAATTTAAAAATGTTCTAGATGGCTACGATTATAAAAATGAACGACATCATATTTTGCTACTTAATCTTCTTATTACTTCATGCGATTTATCGGATCAGACAAAAGATTGGAAAATGTGTAAAACCATAGCTGTATGTATCTTTTTAAAAGTTATTTTATATATTAAACTATAGATTATTAAGTTATTTTATTATATAATAATTAAATATTTATTTATTACTTTAATTATTCTATTTAAACAAATGCATTAACTATATAGAAATTAAAAGTTATATTCCATGGCGATTTTTAAGTTTATTTTAATAAGAGAACACCTCATTTTAATTTCTCTGTGGAGAATCTAAAGTAATATGCATAAATGAACAAGCAATTATTTATTATGACATCATCACAATGGCCTGCAGGTTTTAATAATCTTTTAATTTATAAAATCAGATTATATTAACAAAATATAAAAAATTATATGCAACACGAGGTGTGACTTCCAGTCCAGACTGGAAAGTTTGTTGCACCACATGTCACTAGGCAAATATCTAACTGATACTCAAATTCTTCCTATCCTCACTACAGCATAGTCATTGTCACTTCTTCCACAGCAACCACAGTTTCACAGCTCCTGAAGATTACTCACATTGCACATTAACGAGTGATTCTGATGTTGTAAACTGCAGGGTTAAACAGGGCTTCTGGTTCCTAAACTTTCTGTATCTGGTCTCAATTTTTATCTATCTAACTCCATTCTCAAGATTAATGAAGGACAGATATATAGTGTATAGATGTATAGATGTACAGTACAGTGGGAATGTATAGGTCTGCAATTTTCAAATTGCAGCCCAGTAATTAGGATATTATATGCATTTACTATGTTAATTAACTGAATTATGTTTCATATTAATTATTCATATATGTTAAAATCTGTCTTAAACAGAATGCAATAGTATTGGCCTGAACTTTCTACTTTAACAGATTTCCATTTTTTAGAGGGTTATGTTTTTATCAAAGTGCCTTTTAAAATAAGTATTTTATATTTCCAAAATGTTACAAGGGTCGTTCAAATAGTAATGCACTATAATTTAGATCTGGAAAACAAAGACTGTGACATGGCTCCACTTTGAGGAGTTGTACCTGGAAGCTTTGGTAGCATTGTAGAAAATTTCAAGTTCCCCATTAGGTGGGACCTCTAGAGCTTTGTTGAAAAATGGCAAATGTCAGTGATGTATGTTCCAAGCAGCATGCAATGATAAAATTCCTCGTTGCTGATGGAAACTGTTGGAAACATTCACAAATGATTGTGTGGTGTCTATGGTACTGCAGCTGTCAATCAAAGCACCATCAGTTGTTGGATGCAGTGGTGATATTTGAAATATTTAACAAAGGGTTCGCTAACAGAAAATTTTTCCTTAACAATTTTTTTTTTGCTCAAATGGTGCATTAGCAACATTAGCGCAAAAAAACTGACCTTAAGATACTTATATAAATAAAAAAGTTGCGTTCGCAAAATTAAGTCAGTTAAAATTTAACATTGTTTATGCCCGAACTATATTTTTTTTATAAATAATAAAAAAGAGTGTTCAAAATGGTTTATTTTGTACATATTTTAATATTTTTCCTTCACAATTTTTTTTTCGCTCAAATGCTGCATTAGCAACATTAGCGCAAAACCTGACCTTAAGATACCCATATAAATAAAAAAGATGCGTTAGCAAAATTAAGTCAGTTAAAATTTAACATTGTTTATGCCCGAACTATATTTTTTTAAATAAATAATAAAAAAGAGTGTTCAAAATGGTTTATTTTGTACATATTTTAATATTTTTCATTCAAAATATTATATAAACATAAAAATTGGCTTTTTTTTAATCAGAAAAAGTCATAGGGAAAGCAGTTACACAAGAAAAACTTTTTCTAAATCATTTATTTTATCGTTAGGTATTATTATAATAATAGACAGATGTCATCGTCTCTCGAAATACAATATCTTTCTTATTTCGCTGTCGATAGCTCGACACGTGTTCCGCAGCCATCTTGCATTTTCTCGTGCGCGTGGGATTGTGGGATCTCTCTTATGACTGGATCTAGTTTCGAGAACTCTCTCGAGTCGATTGTGATTGAACCTCGTTTCAATCTCGACTGAAACGAGGTTCAATCGCATGGTCGATGGAGATTGCACCAGGCGAACATAGTATAAGGCTCTAGTAGTGTTACAGAGTATAATACGTATATTTTAATATTATTTTTTAAAAGAAACAAAACCACTGAGAAACGTTACGTGTATTTAACAACGGGTTCGGAAAACTTCGAAAATGTTAACAACGGGTTCGGCCGAACCTGTGCGAACCCGCTGAATATCACCACTGGTTGGATGAAATGTGCGAAGTCAACGACAATAGGAATGGCAGATATCTGTGATTTGGTGCAAAGTGGTAGTCCTGCCACAGCTGTCATGGCAGCCATGATGCAGCACATTGATGAAATGATTTAGGAGGAATGATGCATTAAGTTCAGCAGCTGGAAGAATGCTTGTGCATTAGTGTCACACATGTTCATCAAATCATCCGTGAACATGAGTATGTCAAAGTGTGTTCAGGATTGATTCCAAAGCAACTCATGGTTGACCAAAAAGCAGCAAGAAAAACCATTGCATTGGAACTCTTGCAATGCTACGAGTTTGATGGTGATGAGTTCTTGGCTTGCATCTGATGATGCAAGTGAACAATACAAGTTCCAGTCAGATGAAGATATTGTCAGTGCTATGAGGAAGTGGTTACATGCACAGAATTAGGAGTGATATCAAGCTGGTATATGGCTAAAGGCAAGGACAGAGAATTTGTTGAATAATAACATGAATAGCTGAAGGTAACAGCTAGGAGATGCTCAAGTTTTACAATTGTATGTTTCATACTAGCAGCAAAATGAATTCTGATGCATTACTTTTTGAACAAACCGTGTACAAACAGGGAAAAATGTCTGTATAAAATCCAATATTCACAGAATGTTTTAATTGTGCTATTTTCAAAGACTAACTGCTTACTAGTTACATGCTGCAGTTAATTAGAACCTCTGTGGTCTATTTAATTTAGAAGGAATAGAAGAGTTTTTTATAAAATGTTTTGCTATAATAATTTGATATTTGTTAACTTTTATTTATGAAAAATTGGGAATACATGAAAATTCCCTGACTTTTTCCCTAAAAATCATGCACATTTTATGAATATACATTACTCATAAAAATGAATGAACTCTCTTAGAGTTGAGTAGAAGTAGTGAATTGTCACAGATACTTTCATTGCTGGCTCACGTATTTGGAACTGTTAGAGATATACAAAGCCACCAGAAAAAATGCTGCTACAAACTTGTGGTGTAGATTCCTTCCCCATGTGGAAATTTATCTATGAGCTGTAATCTTACAACCCTCTCCCCCTCTCTCTCTTTTATGTCACTCCTCTTAACACTTTTAATGTATGTACCAGTGGCATACCATCATTGGAAGCGGTGGATGCACTGCTTCCCTTGTATTTTCTAAAAAAATAAATACATAGTAATTTTAATTATATGAAAATAATCGCACAATAGTTTATTATAACCGCATTATGTATCTTATTACAAATTCCTATACTACACGTGAGAAAAAAGATAAGATTGCTATTGTATATTCAAATATTATTGGCAAAGTGGAAGTGCGATATTGTCAGCATTCAAAAAGCCAGGTTCATGCATGTGCTTTACAGAGCACCAATCTCACCCGGTTTAGCTGGTAGAAGCCTAGGACCTTGGGTGGATGCTACACGTATACTGCATCCAATTCTATCTAGGACCGGTTCTGGGCCATTAGCCGCCTGTCCGCTATATATTTGGTCGCCCTCGCCTGATTACATGAATCGCGAGTAGATTTATAACTTAACTCAACTGATAAGAATTTACTGGTATGTTTTTATGATAGTTCTGTATAGTTGACAGGAGTTTAAAAAAATCTACTAAAATATTTTATATTTTTATTCTGCTCTCCGATTTTATGTTACTCATGGATTTCAATGTTAAACCAGTAATATTACAATTTCGTATATCCCATCTAAGGGGATATAGAAAAAAATGTTTACAATTCATGTATGATGTTAAAAAAAATTAACTTGTGGCCATCGGCCATATAATTTATAGTTTTCTATGTAATATAAGTTAGTCTTAGAAACTCTTTTGTTCTTTATCTTGATTATTTTCTAAATTTTCCCTTCTAATCCGCTTACCCTTGGGGTGGGATTACCATTTCGAAGAAAAGCCCGGTGAACAATAGGAGGAAGACCCAGGGGGTCTTGCAGGAAGGAAAGGGAACTCATTCTTGTACCAGGACGAGAGAAGGCAAGGTGGTAGAAAGGATCGTCCTCGAGCAGCGTGAGAGTGCGTGAAGTGAGTGTGTTACGGAGAGTCAAGAAGGGACACGTGGTGCAAGGAAAAGAAAGGACGCTGACGACCAAAGGAGTCACGACGAAAACAAAGAGTGGTATCTCACCCCAGTATTATACGTACGTTAGGAAAGGAAACCCGGGTATTTCTGTCTTGTTCTATCTTCTCTCCTATCTAATCTTTCTTTCGATAGTTATAAGTAGGTTAAGTTCTAGTTTTAGATCTACACGCGCTTGATTGTCGGGTCACGTATAGCACGTGATATCTTTGTTGTAATAGACGGCAAGCCTGTACGAGTGTTTGTACTCGAGAAGTTGGGATCCATAAAGAACCTGCTTCGATTCTTTCTGGCGATAATAAAAGGGAACCGGATTTTATTTTATTTAATTCGTTTCTTTTATTTTGTGTCGGTCTGTTCGCGGAACCCATCACACATC